CATTTTTCTGTATGAAAAACTCCCTGTTCTAGTCTTTTCCTTCTAACTATACGCTTCTATTAAAGTATTTAAATCTCATTTTAATAGATAAAAATTTCCAATCGATTTATTTAATCTTCAAAAGAAACATTATCTTAAATATACAGACAATAAAAATAAAATTAAAGCTTTCTTTTAAAGATTTTTATCAAATCAGTTCGACTCTATAATTACAGCCCCTGTAAATGTATCTTCACTGCAAACTCATTACATAGATCCGCATGGCTATCTTACAACAGATAATAGGGATGATGATAAAAATAAATATTTTCTTGGAAAAATCGAATTAATATTTTAATTTTCTTTTCTTATTTCTTTCAGCTACAAGGGATTTTATTTTCTTAATTATAAAAATTCAGTAATTACTTTTATTTTTTAACGTGTAAAATTTTTTTATATCAAAAGTAAATCTTTATTACTTTTGTTTATTTTTATTTTAATTCTCTGTGATTAAAATTAGAAAAAAATCATTGTAGAAAGTATCTAAAAACACGAATTTTTACAATTATTTAGTTTCTATGCATTTCTTAATGCTAATTGATAAAATAAAGAGCTGTCACATCGTTAGTTAATCTGATTTTATTTGATTTTTAACGAGAATATCAGTAAATTTTATATAAATGTTTAATTATAATCCTTCCTAAAAAATTATTACACTTAATAACCCATTTAATCAGTTTTTGGTGACTTTTCATAATTTTTTTTGGCTAAGTCTCTGCTAAAATCCAACGTATTTTGCCAACTTTTCAGCTAATTTTTTTTAAAAAACTGTTTCATTTCTTTACTTAAATCCTTCTAATTTGAAAAAATCCAATTTTTAAGGATTAAAAATACACTTTTGTAACATTTATTTATAAATTTTTAAATTAAAGTTTGCAGCCTTATACATATTAATTTTTATAGAATAATTTAAGATCTAAGAATGCTTAATTTTATATAAAGTTTATAATATTTAAAGTAAATTTTATAAAATAATATAAGATAAGATAATGTTATAAGATAATCTTATAAACTACTTCAAGACTTTTATTCAAACATAAAGAAGCTATGGATCGATCATAACCATATATTGAAACACAATATGCATCATTTATCAAGCACAACTTTTTCTAACATTTCCTTCGACACTATGAAGCAATTTTTTAAAGTATTTTTTTTATAAAATATAAGCTTAAAAATAAATCTTTATCTTGTATAAATTCCATTAAAATTATACAAAAAATATTATTAATTTATAAAATTTAATGTGGTAAAAAGTAAACAGAATTTATTTGCTTAAACAGTTTCAGGATAGTGAAATTTACCACTAAATTGTTCTACATCTCTGGAATATCATCCTTGTTAATTATAGTTTTAAGTTTCTATAAGTTAAGTTTCATAAAGCGAATTTTCTTTACAAAACTTATCTTAATGCTATAGAACTCATCCTCACTTTGACCTGAATGACAAGGTAAAAAATGAAAAATTAATTGATCTAGAATATTATTTTTATTAATTATAGTGTTATGTTTCTATAGAGTAACTTTAATAAAAGGAATTTTCCCTATAAAACTTATAAAAGATCATCATCATCTTGAAGTGAATGACAAGGTCAAAATTAATTGATCTCCGTTTTTTTTAAGAATATCATCCTTATTATTTATAGTTTGTCTATAAAGTAGCTTTAATAAAGGGCATTTTCCCTAGTAAACATATCCCTATCCCAAGCAACTCATTCCTATCCTAAAAAAACTTATCCCTCTCCTAATGACAAGATCAAAAAATGCAAAACTAATTGATCTCCATCTTCCATAGAATATTATCCTTATTAATTACAGTGTTAAATCTCTATAAATTAACTTTAATAAAGGGAATTTTCCTTAGAAGACTCATATTGATGCTAGAGAACTCGTCTTCATCTTATCCCGAATGACAAGGTAAAAAACTAATTTAACAAAATATATAGAAGCCTTTAAGAAATGTTATTACATTTTTACTCCGTGTTTACTCCTAACATTTAATTTAACAAGATGTGTGGGGGATTAAACTGGCAGGATGAGACACCATCGGATGTTGGATGCAGGGAGACATAAATGGATTTCTATTCGTTTTTTTTAATTAATCTTATTAATTTTTGTAATTTATTTATTAATTAACACGTCGAGAACAATAAGAATTTCCTCATTTTTCTTTATTTCAAATTAAATTTTTGGTTCCTCTTTCAACCGCAAACCTGAGAGAATGTAACCAGTCCAAAGAATGTGATCAATAGTAATAAATCTCTTGTGTACGACTCGTGCCTTGTGATGAAAACGACTTTTCTAAACAAAATGTAAATTAAACAAGTGACACTTTCTGCATTTTTAATCAACATCCCGCTTAAGGGCATCATTTTCAATTTATCTTTATCGTCATTTCTCTTATTTTTTGGATGATGAAGCGTGATTTTATGGCCCACTTTTGAGGGGAATTCGATGCTTTATATTATATTTTTGTAATTAAATATGCTGTTTTGTGCTTCGTAAGTAATATTTTTAATAAAACCGAGTTTTTAGAATGTGATAATAAACTTAAATTGCTATTTTTTTTGGTGTTTATGGGGTCTAGTCTCTTGGTTTTCTTACAATTTCTCTTCAAATAAATGATGATATTAGACCACTATAGCTTAAAATAAGCTAAATTTGGAGTTATATTTCATTAAAATATGATGCATTTAAGCTATTTATATTTTATTTGTATCCAGAAGAAAGAAAACTTAACTCATTTGTCTTTCTCTATAATGAAGCATACAATAATAACCATTGCATTCACATAAAGTGGCTGTTTGTTTACACATTTTCTTTAATTTTAACAGTTTTAAACATAATTTAAATGCTTAAAAACTGTATAGAAATCTCTAATTATAAATCAGGATGTCGATTTAATGCATTATACATAATTTACTTTTATACAAATCATGATTATTGCTTCATCTTTAATGTCGTGAGAGTATTTTATACAGTATTTTAATAGATATTTAAGCATTTATTTGCCATTTAACAGTTTAAAATTAATCAAAATTTGTAATTAAATAGAAATTTCGGTGTTAAAACATGAATAATTTAAATTAAATTAAATATTGTTACGTATATTGCAATTTTGTATTATATCTTTCATAATTTAATTAAAATTTCTGCTTTATTCGATTAAAATAAAGCATAAAATTTAAATAAAAATAATAAAATTATACAAATATAAATATATATTTTATAAAGGAGCGTTATAAGGAGCTTCTGAGACGATAGAAGCTGGGATGCAGCAGGATAATGAAGAGTTGAAGACTTAACTATTTATAGAAACGTGACATTATATGAGGAATAAAAAAGTGGATATGATGTCTCCTTTATCCTATTTTTATATAATTACAACCCTTGATCTGTTAATTAAATTTCGAGTATTAAACCTTCTAACTTCAATTAAGACAGGAACAATGGAGATAATTGGCAAAAAATCATGTTTTAAGCAAAAATTAAGTGTTAAAAACCATTTAAAATGCAAAAATTCGTAAATTTTTATTCTTATATTTTAATTAAAAAGAAAAGATTTGTACGTTTAAGAGCTAAAATACGTTTGCAAATCTCTGCAAAACTAGCGAGTTGTGTAAAGTTATTTAATTATAAATATATTACAGGAATTTAAAAAAATAATTAATTATTTACTGCAATATATCACGAAAATTAATAATAAATAAATACAATATTATCCGAGGGATTTATAAATTAATAATGGATTTTTATATATTTAAACTTCTTTATGTATATGTAAATAATTAATGATGAATTACAGTTATTCGTTAATAATTGCAGATAACGTTATATTATGCTGTTAATTCGGTTAAAATAAGGTCATTAAAGGTTAAAATACATTAAGGAGAAAATCTTAAAGCAAAATTAAGGCACAAAAATAAGTTTATCATTAAAATAAACCCTAAAATCAACGAGTTCTGTAAGCATTTTAACATAGGATGGCACCAGAAAAGTTGTTATAAATCGAATTTATTTGCATAAATTAAAGAAAAATATTGCTCCTAAGATTATCACAATTTAATTTTATGCATAAAAGTTATAGTTATACGTTTATAATTATAGATACGTATGCATTAACCGAGTTAACAGGGCGAGTGAGGTCATTAAAGGTTAATATAAACATTAAAAATGGTGGGTTGAAGCAAAATAAAGTGAAAAGGGTGTGCAAAAATAAGGTTAATATTAAAATAAACCCTAAGATTAGAGCATTGTATAGACATTTTTAATATAAATTGCTAATATATACGAGTTCTGTGGGCACTTTTATATATGGTGGCACCAGAAATGTTGCTATAAATCGAGATTATTTGTATAAATTAACAAAAGATTTACCTTATAAATTTATTTTAATTTAAAGTATAAAAAATTATATTAATTCGTTTATAATTATAGATAACATCAAGTTAACTCAGCTAAAGCTCATGATGAGTGAGGTCATTAAGGGGTTACTATAAACTAAATAAACTGTCTTTAAATATAATTAAGTGCGAAAAAATTAAAATAAACGAAATTTTTAATTAAATTTTTAATGTTATAAAAAAGATGTTTTTATATAAATTATTATAATTTAATTTTAAAATAATTAAATAAATAAATAAATGCAAATAAAACAAGAGCGAATGAAATCCACATATAATGCATATAAAAAAAATAATATATATATAATCGATTTAAATTGCTAAATATACGAAACAAATAAACTTGATCATGTAAACAGCGCAGCTATCGATTACTGTTTAAACTTGATAATTACTGTTTTATTTATAAAGTTACACGCCTGAATAATTATCATATACAGAAGGGAACAAGGCTGAAGACACTCCACCATTGTCGAGTTCCGTTCAGGAATTAAATATAAAATTTAAAAATTAAGAAAGAAAAAAATGGAGGATAAAGTAGACCACGTGTTCAACTCACCTGAGCAGCATCATCGGTATAACTTCCGGTCATACCTAGCACAGGTATCTTAACGTAACCCGATATCAATGAAGCGAAATAAGCATCCGTTCTTTTTAAAAATGATAAAACAAGATGAGGATTACGTTGCTGTATCTCGTGACAGAGATAATTTATTATATCACTGCTATTATTAGTAATAACGATCATAGAAGCAACGAATTGCACATCTTTATTCTCTTCTAATTTTAGTGCATTTTCCAATAATTCCTGCCTTTCTGATAGTTCTTGAGGTACCAATACAACAATATGAAGAGATACATTCAACGCCTTCGGTAGTAAACACAATAACAGTAGGAAATACGTAAGCATAACTCCCGTTTTCAAATTTCTAATCCGCATTTACAGTTCACAAACTTCCACCTTCTCAGATAACGGCTTAGTAACTTAAATAAACAGTTAAATAAATAGGAGGCCATTTTCTTACACGGTGTTACTTTACGATGATATCTACACCGTGTGAGCCAACCAGCTCCTACTGAGTGGTATACTCCAAGAGAAACGGGTTAGTTTCTCACTCCTACCCTCGTACGGGCATGCGCTAAAACCGTCATCGATTTTAACCCCGATGACGAACTGATGACGTAAAAGCTCGCGAACGGTTAAATCCAGGTCTCTTATACGAACGGCGCTTTCCCTCTCCTTTCCTAATATTTATATAAATATTTATCCTTTAAATTATTTGCTGAACGGATTCGAACAGCGGAGGATAACTAACGCATCCTTCATCTTCTTCTTCCTCCTCCTCCTCCTCCATATGTTTCCTTTAAGGGATTGCTTGCTCTCTTAACTTAGTTAATTTACCATTTAAATGCGCTTATTTTTAATTTAAAGTTTCTTAAAATTAATTAAAATATCTGTCCCCATCTTCTGAAAAATCCCCAAAGAATAAACAAGGCTTAAAATCTTAATTATCGAAATTAATTAAAATGGCCGATATAGATTAATGACATCATTAATCTTTATGAAACGAAGGTCACGAGGTTAACTGATTATCTCATTAACGCTAACACCAAATGTTAACTACAAAAATATGAAAATTTCCATATAATACACTTTATTACGGTGTAATTAGTCTTTATAAGATAATGTGTAACTTAAATGAATAATCTAATCACTCTACAGAGACTAAGAATTTAATCTAAAAATGTTTAATAATTCTCTTATGCAACTCACAACACTTAAAATAGCAATAGGAACAATTATTTTGGCACTCTGGATAACCTTACATCAATAGGGAATAGCTGGCTTATGTAATTATAGCTTCAAGAAAAGGACAGAAGGAGAGAATTTCACTTAAAAATACTTTAAATTCTCTTATGCAATCCGCATCCCTTAAAATAGCACGTACAGCTATAAGAAGAAATCTGTCTGAATAGACTAGTTAACCTTACATCAATAAGGAATAGCTGGCATATGTAGTTATAGCTTCAAGAACAGATAGAACAGAAAAAAAATTAACTTAAAATACTTAAAAATTCTCGTATGCAATCCGCATCCCTTAAAACGGCTGTGTCTAAATGGAAAAAACCCCTAGACACTAGTACTTAGTCACGGGTTAGCGCCATAACAAGCTGACCACGTGGAGTTTTTCAGGTTTTCTTCAAGTGTATGGGCCAGTTTGCCGTACAAACTTCTTCCTTGGCAGATCGCCCATGTGTTGCGTTGCCTTATCCAATTAAATCAAACCAACCCTTAAAATAGCGCGCGCAACTACAGGAACGTCCATTTCGACTCTCTGAATGACCTTACATCAATAGGGAGTAGCTGGCATATGCAGATATAGCTTCGAGAATAGGGCCGAAGAACAACTGAAACTTTGAAAAATTCGGAAAACTAGTCATAAATAAACAATACCCATTTCAAATGTTAATTAAGTTGCATAGAGCGGTACGTAATAAAGAGCAGAGAGAGAGAGAGAGAAGGGGTGAGAGAGAAAGAGAAAATTATTAATTAAAGCAATCTGCCTTTCTGGAATTAACTGCGGAAGTAAAGATCATGTAACGGTGACTCTGTGTTTATTTTCATTAATTTGTCATACTTCTCATTAAGTGATGTGCTACAGAACTGCAACGTTTGGCGAATTAATAAGTTTTTAACTCGAATTTTATATATAATTTATTAATAGATCAAATATAAAAAACACGTTCTGACGTCACGTAAATAATTTATACGCCATTTTTTTATTTTTTATTTCGTATTTAAGTCCCGCTTTTTTTAATTATTTTATGCTCTTGAATTATGAGAATTGATAGGCGATAATTCCCAATTTATCTTTATTTTAAATGTCTTTCTTAAATTTTTTAATTTGTTTTTTCAGTTAATAAAATAAATAAAATGCCTATAAAATAAACAGGTCGTCCAGAAAAAAATATCATGTTCAAACAAACAACATTTTATTTATTTTTTAATTTTTAAAGATTAAAATAAATAAATAATTATATTATATTTTGATGTAATTTATATTTTATTTTTTTAAATAGAAAAAAAATATATCGAAAATGACAATTTGATTAGTGGAGAATAGTTATTTGCATTATTTCTCAATAACGACATCTGTCGGATGTAAAAATTAAGTCGATGACGAAATATTGGACTTTTGAAACAAAACGTTCTAATTGGCTAATGAAATTAACCAATTAACTAAGTTTAAATAAGCGCCCTCTCTTGGATATTCAGAATTTATTTTAAAAAATTTATTATTATTGTTATTTTTTTAATTTCTAGAAAATTTCGTTTTTTCATTTTTAAAAATTAATGATATTATTAACAAATGATAAAAAATGGTAATTTAAAATTAATGTTTTAGATATATTACATATTACTTCAAGAATAATAAAATAAAATTAAATGAGAAGAGGCATTCTTTTCATCATTCTTATCATTTTTTTTTGTTTTATCCTCTTTCTTATAATCCTCCTTTTTCTTCTTTTAAATTTGTTTTTTAATTCTTCTTCTTCTTCATTTTGGTTTTGTCCTTCCTTTTATCCTTCTTCTTATCATCCTTCTTTTTAACTTGCTTTTTCTTCATTTAATTTGTTTCTTATTTAATTTGATTTTGTCCTTCATATTCTCTTCTTATCCTTGTCTTTATCCTCTTTTTATCATCCTTCTTCATTTTACTTTAAAAATTTTTCTTTTTAATCACTTTGTTTTTATTCTTCTTATCTTTCATTTATGTTGTTTTTTTATTCCTCATCTTATCATTCATTCTTCTTATTACTTTTCTTTCCTTTATTTTCTTCTTCGTCCATATTTACAGCAAGGTTACGACGGAGCATTTCACTCGTTGCTCCTCTTTACACCAAAACAAATTACGCTACATCAAACTAGAAGTTCAAGGACTAGAAGATTTGCATAAGATTTATTTTGAAGCAAGAAGCTCTAAATAATAATAATAATTTAAATTCTTAAAAAGTATTAAATTACTTTCAAGAAAACAAAATGGCCGACGAAATTTTACTCACAAACGTTCTTTAAAATAGATATATTTTTTTAATAAACAGAATCGCAGAAACGTTTCATTTGTAGAGTTAATTAATGTACAACGGAAAAATGGAAGCGAGAAAATTAAATTTTTCATATAAACTTTCTTGGCTTGATATTAAATTATTATTTGTTTCTTAAAATTCATATTTTTAAGGGTATTTTAAGATATTCCTTCTTGAAAATTCAACTCCGACGATATATCGCTCTGGCATGCTGAATATAAAAAATAAAATTTACTTTTTTCAAATATATTTCTTACGCCGTATTGCAGTTTCGGATGTTAATGTCATCCAGACAGACTTACCGATTCTCAACCATAAACGTAACAAATATTTATTTACTTTTCACGTTTAGGCCGTTGATAAAAGAGGTTATTGAATAAAATAACGTACTGTTCATAATTTTGAAAATGTAATAGCTAATATAAAGGGTGGCCAAAAAGCCACTTAACCAACGTAAAGGATAAATTACTGTCTCCACCGAATACCTCATTACTTACTGGGTTTTTTTTTTTCAAAACTTGCTGAGTCGATTGAAATCAAACACGGTTAACCGAGTTTCGGGCCACCCTTTATTCGAATTTTATCGAATTTTTATGAGTACATTGAATAGAATTTTTAAAAAAATTGAAGTAAACAGAATGTATTTCAAAAGTCAGTTAACCTTGTTTAACAGCAAGGCAATTTCTACAAAAAAAAAAAAAAATAATTGACGAATCTCTGGAAAAATAACTTTGTTAACCGTCTTTTGGACCAATCTAGGTCCATTTTTTTAAAAATTTAAACATAATTATCTTATCAAGACACATTTTATTTTATTTTTTATTGGAAACGAATTAAATATTAATAAACATCAGAAAAACAAGGTAAAATATACGGGAAAGGAGGAAAATCGATAAACGTTTATATCATTACAAATGGGACATAAAAATAAAGTATTTGATGTACAAATAATATCGTCAATTGATGTACTGTACATAGAAGACACGGGGTATTAATGGCAAACGTTGTAGCTGATGGAGCATTATAATAAATGTATATCATGTATTCTCCTGTAATATTGTCTTAAAAAAAATAGAAAACAGATACGGCAAACTCTCGCTAATCCGGCAACTATGACAAGGATTACCGGAGCGCGACTGGCCCGATGTCTTCCTAAACATTACTGGCTATTGGCCCGGTGTCTTCCTAATGAATGACTTTCGGAGGATATGCCGGATAAACGAGAGAAATTCTCTGTAAATAAATATATTTCCTGAGTGATGTTGGATTTACTCTCCATCGAATTCACGATGATGTCATCGTCGGTTCGACCGGGCCTACAATTGGAGGTGGGCCGACACATCCGGAAATTTTTACGGAGGTAATTTTTCCGGGTCCTTAAGAATGACAGATAGACTCACAATAACAATTCTGGCAACCATCTAAAACCAGATCTTCATTTTACTCCTGCTAAAGCTAGATCATCATCTTACTGTTTATAAAGGCAGATTTTCATCTTACTCTTCCTAAAGCCAGATCATCATCTTTCTTTTCCTAAAGCTAGATCATCATCTTAGGCTACTCCTCCAGAATTTTCCATCTTGCACAAGACAGAATTCTGGAAAGGTATTTACCAGCCCAAATAAATAACGATATATCATTCTTCTGTTTTGAGATTTTTGTAAATAAGCTGAGGATGATGAGTTCACGCCATAATATATATATTGTATCAACAAGATCTACGTTATCTAACACACATATCAATTATTGTAGAATGGCTTAGAAAAGAGACTTTAACACTTTAATTTTATTGTAAAAACTAAATTCCCGTTTTATGCAGGTATTTTATTACTTGAAAAATCCTTCAAAGGTTGCAGAATTGCTGGTAAACGACACGATTAACTGACTTTCGGTCACGCTTTTACTAGTAACACGAATGTAATAATAATGCTTTTACTTTCTGCTCAAGTAACTTGTTTGTACAGAGA